TGGGTGGGTGATAGTGGGGGGGTGATAGTAGGGGGGGAGGGGTGATAGTGGGGGGGGTGATAGTGGGGGTGGTGATAGTGGGGGGTGATAGTGGGGGGGGTGATAGTGGGGGGGGGGGGGGGGGTGATAGTGGGGGGGGGGGGTGATAGTGGGGGGGGTGATAGTGGGGGGTGATAGTGGGGGGGGGTGATAGTGGGGGGGTGGGTGATAGTGGGGGGAGGAGTGATAGTGGGGGGGTGATAGTGGGGGGGGTGATAGTGGGGGGGGATTTGGGGGGGGTGATAGTGATAGTGGGGGGGGTGATAGTGGGGGGGTGATAGTGGGGGGGTGATAGTGGGGGGGTGATAGTGGGGGGGTGATAGTGGGGGGGGGATTTTGGGGGGGGTGATAGTGATAGTGGGGGGGGGTGATAGTGGGGGGGGGATTTTGGGGGGGTGATAGTGGGGGGGGGGTGATAGTGGGGGGGGGTGATAGTGGGGGGGTGATAGTGGGGGGGGCTATGTACAGGGGACACGCGAATGGGCGTAATCGTCATCAAGCAATCGCCACAACAACAACAATGATAAACAATGACATTATCTATAATAACAATGATAAACAATGACATTATCTATAATAACAATGATAAACAATTACATTATCTATAATAACAATGATAAACAATGACATTATCTATAATAACAATGATAAACAATGACATTATCTATAATAACAAATAAAATTGATTGATGGGGATGGTGGTGGCGGTGGTTTTAGTCAAATATAGAAAGCTCACGATCGTCACACACGGAGCCCTGTCCAGTGATGACTCTCTCACTCACTCCCTCTCTCTATCATACACCTCTCTCTCTCTCTATCTCTCTCATTATCTCCCTCTCTCTATCATACACCTCTCTCTCTATCTCTCTCATTATCTCTCTCCCTCTCTCTATCATACACCTCTCTCTCTCTCATTATCTCTCTCCCTCTCTCTATCATACACCTCTATCATACACCTCTCTCTCTATCTCTCTCATTATCTCTCTCCCTTATCACCTCTCCCTCCCTCTCTCTCCCTCCCCCTCTCTCTCTCTCTGTCTCATTATCTCTCTCCCTCCCTCTCTCTCCCTCCCTCTCTCTATCTCATTGCCTCTCTCTATCATACACCTCTCTCTCTATCTCTCTCTCTCATTATCTCTCTCCCTTATCACCTCTCCCTCCCTCTCTCTCTCTCATTGCCTCTCTCTCTCTCTGTCTCATTATCTCTCTCCCTCCCTCTCTCTCTCTGTCTCATTGCCTCTCTCATTGCCTCTCTCCCTGTCCCCCCTCTCTCTCTTTCGTCTTCCACGCTGAGCAGCACCGGCACCCCCGCTATCGATTGAGCGTCAATCATCGGTGATCTATAACCCGTGATCTACAACCCGTGATCTATAACCCGTGATCTATAATCCGTGATCTACAATCGAGAGAGACAAGGAGAGATGACAGATCGATATATAAAACTCAAACAACACAAAAAATATAAAAAATAATGAACCAGTTGCACCAAAACCCACACAAAGTTACTGAGCACACGAACAGAGACCACCCCCTAGCCCCTAGCCCCTCCACCCCTATCCCCTCCCCCCCTAGCCCCTCCCCCCGTGATGACGACGATGATCGTGATGACGACGACGATCATACCAACACCATCAACACCACCACCAACACCATCACCACCACCACCATCAACACCACCATCAACATCAACACCATCACCACCATCAACACCACCACCATCAACACCACCACCATCACCACCATCACCATCAACACCACCATCAACACCACCATCACCATCAACACCACCATCATCACCACCATCATCACCAACACCACCATCATCACCACCATCATCACCACCACCAACACCACCACCATCACCACCACCACCATCACCATCCATGTCCTCACACATCGAGTGGTGACTCTGCACTCCCCCCATGTAGACCCCCCCCCGCCCCTCCCCTGCCTGACCCCCACCTAGGTTTACTCAGCCCGAAACCCGGCCCAGCGCACTGCGACTTAGCGCCACGCCGCACTACAAACCCGGCGACCTGGGTTCGATTCCCGCTCACGACCATCAACACCGCCGATAGAGATGACCTGATCTGGTCCAGGGCCTCCCCTAGGTCGACTCGGCCTCAACTGAGTGCTACCTGGTGTAGCTGTGGTGTGTGGTGAACATCGCCAGCACTGGGGGAGAGACAAAGGCGGCCGGGCGTGGTGCTGGTAGCCACCCACCCCCTCTGTGTGTGTGTAGGTGCTGCTACTCGCTACTCACAGCACTTGCCCCTACAGCCTGCTAGAGACAGAGACACACAGAGACACACAGAGACACACAGAGACACAGACACAGAGACACAGTGCCTGGGTTCGAACCATGGGTCTGGGAGTCTCTCTCTGTGAGTCTCTCTGTGAGTCTCTGTGTGTGTGTGAGTCTCTCTCTGTGTGAGTCTCTCTCTGTGAGTCTCTCTGTGTGAGTCTCCCTGTGAGTCTCCCTGTGTGTGTGAGTCTCTCTCTGTGTGAGTCTCTCTGTGTGAGTCTCTCTCTGTGAGTCTCTCTCTGTGAGTCTCCCTGTGAGTCTCTGTGTGTGTGTGAGTCTCTCTCTCTGTGAGTCTCTCTCTGTGAGTCTCCCTGTGAGTCTCCCTGTGTGTGTGAGTCTCTCTCTGTGTGAGTCTCTCTGTGTGAGTCTCTCTCTGTGAGTCTCTCTCTGTGAGTCTCTCTGTGAGTCTCTGTGTGTGTGTGAGTCTCTCTCTGTGTGAGTCTCTCTGTGTGAGTCTCTCTCTGTGTGAGTCTCTCTGTGTGAGTCTCCCTGTGAGTCTCCCTGTGTGTGTGAGTCTCTCTGTGTGAGTCTCTCTGTGTGAGTCTCTCTCTGTGAGTCTCTCTGTGTGAGTCTCTCTGTGTGAGTCTCTCTCTGTGAGTCTCTCTCTGACCGAGTGACTTGCTGAGTGACTGGCTGAGTGACTGGCTGAGTGACTGGCTGGCTGAGTGACCGAGTGATTGGATGGCTGAGTGACCGAGTGACTGGCTAACTGAGTGACCGAATGACTGGCTAACTGAGTGAACGAGTGACTGCCTAACTGAGTGACTGGCTAACTGAGTGACCGAATGACTGGCTAACTGAGTGACCGAGTGACTGGCTAACTGAGTGACTGGCTGACTGAGTGACTGACTGGCTAAGTGACTGAGGGGGGGGGGGCGGGGCACTGAGGGGGGGGGGGGGGAAGGGAGGGAGTGACTGGCTGAGTAAGTGACTGAGTAAGTGGCTGAGTGACTGGCCGAGTGACTGGCTGAGTAAGTGGCTGAGTGACTGGCTGAGTAAGTGGCTGAGTGACTGGCTGAGTAAGTGGCTGAGCAAGTGACTGAGTAAGTGACAGAGTAAGTGACTGAGTGACTGGCTGAGTAATTGGCTGAGTAAGTGGCTGAGTGACTGGCTGAGTGACTGGCTGAGTAAGTGGCTGAATGACTGGCTGAGTGACTGGCTGAGTAAGTGACTGAGTAAGTGGCTGAGTGACTGGCCGAGTGACTGGCTGAATAAGTGACTGAGTAAGTGGCTGAGTGACTGGCTGAGTAAGTGGCTGAGTAAGTGACTGAGTAAGTGACAGAGTAAGTGACTGAGTGACTGGCTGAGTAATTGGCTGAGTAAGTGGCTGAGTGACTGGCTGGGTGACTGGCTGAGTAAGTGGCTGAATGACTGGCTGAGTGACTGGCTGAGTAAGTGACTGAGTAAGTGGCTGAATGACTGGCTGAGTGACTGGCTGAGTAAGTGACTGAGTAAGTGGCTGAGTGACTGGCTGAGTAAGTGGATGAGTAAGTGACTGAGTAAGTGACTGGCTGAGTAAGTGACTGAGTAAGTGACTGAGTGACTGGCTGAGTAAGTGACTGAGTGACTGGCTGAGTAAGTGACTGAGTGACTGGCTGAGTAAGTGGCCGAGTGACTGGCCGAGTGACTGGCTGAGTAATTGGCTGAGTAAGTGGCTGAGTGACTGGCTGAGTGACTGGCTGAGTGACTGGCTGAGTAAATGGCTGAGTGACTGGCTGAGTAAGTGACTGAGTAAGTGACAGGGTAAGTGACTGAGTGACTGGCTGAGTAAGTGGCTGAGTGACTGGCCGAGTGACTGGCTGAGTAATTGGCTGAGTAAGTGGCTGAGTAAGTGGCTGAGTGACTGGCTGAGTGACTGGCTGAGTAATTGGCTGAGTAAGTGGCTGAGTGACTGGCTGAGTGATTAGCTGAGTAATTGGCTGAGTAAGTGACTGAGTGACTGGCTGAGTGACTGGCTGAGTAAGTGGCTGAGTAAGTGGCTGAGTGACTGGCTGAGTAAGTGACAGGGTAAGTGACTGAGTGACTGGCTGAGTAAGTGGCTGAGTAAGTGGCTGAGTAAGTGGCAGAGTAAGTGGCTGAGTAAGTGGCTGAGTAAGTGGCTGAGTAAGTAGCTGGCTAGTGGCTTGCTAGAGGACTGCGTGACCAAGTGGTGAATGGCCGAGTGACTGGCCGAGTGACTGAGTGACTGAGTGACTGACTGAGTGACTGACTGAGTGACTGAGTGACTGACTGAGTGATTGCATGTCCGAGTGACTGAGTGACTGACTGAGTGACTGACTGACTGACTGACTGAGTGACTGACTGACTGAGTGATTGCATGTCCGAGTGACTGAGTGACTGACTGAGTGACCGAGTGACTGAGTGACTGACTGAGTGACTGAGTGACTGACCGAGTGACTGACTGACCGAGTGACTGACTGACTGACTGAGTGAGTGAGTGACTGAGTGACTGACTGAGTGACTGAGTGACGGTGAGTGCTGGGTGGTGTGGCGAGGTGGCCTGGTGAGTGGTGAGTGGTGAGGGTGAGTGGTGAGGGGTGAGTGGGTGAGTGGTGAGTGGTGAGTGAGTGTGTGAGTGAGTGAGTGGTGAGTGGTGAGTGGGTGAGTGGTGAGTGAGTGAGTGGTGAGTGAGTGGTGAGTGGGTGAGTGGTGAGTGGGTGAGTGGTGAGTGGTGAGTGGGTGAGTGGTGAGTGGTGAGGGGTGAGTGAGTGAGTGAGTGGTGAGTGTGAGTGGTGAGGGTGAGTGGTGAGTGCTCCCTGCTAGAGGCCGTTGCTGCTACGCTGAGTGAGTGGTGAGTGGGTGAGTGGTGAGTGGTGAGTGGGTGAGTGGTGAGTGGTGAGGGGTGAGTGAGTGAGTGAGTGGTGAGTGTGAGTGGTGAGTGGTGAGTGCTCCCTGCTAGAGGCCGTTGCTGCTACGCTGAGTGAGTGTCGCCTTGCTCAGCTCCTCTGACGAGGAGCGACTTTTGTTCAGCATCTTGGGCCCACGCCGCAGCAGACGCTGAGCCTCCTGGAAGGTGACCAGCAGCTCCTTTCGCCACTGCACAAACTCCGGCTCGCTCTGACCGTGGTGGGGGGGGGAGTGGTGGGGGGGTGGTGGGGGGGGAGTGGTGGGGGGGCAGTGGGGGGTACGCACGGTCATGGATGGTGACTAGACACATCGCTAGACACAGGTCCACTCACCCCACTCACCCACCCACCCCACCCACCCCACTCATCCCACTCACCTCACCCACCCCACCCACTCACTCACTCACTTCACTCACTCACCCCACCCACCCACTCACCCCACTCACTGACCCCACCCACCCACTCACCCCACTCACCCCACTCACCCACTCACTCACCCACTCACTCACCCACTCACTCACCCACTCACCCCACTCACCCACCCACCCCACTCACCCCACTCACCCCACTCACTCACTCACTCACCCCACTCACTCACCCCACTCACTCACCCCACTCACTCACTCACCCCACTCAGTCACTCACTCACCCCACTCACTCACTCACTCACCCCACCCACTCACCCCACTCACTCACCCACCCTACTCACCCCACTCACCTCACTCACTCACCCCACCCACCCACTCACCCCACTCACCCCACCCACTCACTCACCCCACTCACTCACTCACTCACCCCACTCACTCACTCACCCACTCACCCACTCATCCCACTCACTCACTCACCCCACTCACCCCACTCACTCACTCACTCACCCCACTCACTCACTCACCCACTCACTCACTCACCCCACTCACTCACCCCACTCACTCACTCACTCACCCCACTCACCCCACTCACCCCACTCACTCACCCCACTCACTCACCCCACTCACTCACTCACTCACCCCACTAACTCACCCACTCACCCCACTCACTCACCCCACTCACCCCACTCACCCCACTCACTCACTCACTCACCCCACTCACTCACTCACCCCACTCACGCCACTCACTCACCCACTCACTCACCCACTCACCCCACCCACTCACCCCACCCACTCACCCCACTCACTCATCCCACTCACCTCACCCACCCCACCCCCTCACTCACTTCACTCACTCACCCCACCCACCCACTCACCCCACTCACTGACCCCACCCACCCACTCACCCCACTCACCCCACCCACCCACCCACCCACTCACCCACCCACTCACCCCACCCACTCACCCCACTCACCCCACTCACCCCACTCACTCACTCACCCACCAACTCACTCACCCCACCAACTCACTCACCCCACTCACTCACTCACCCCACTCACCCACCCACCCCACTCACCTCACTCACCCCACCCACCCACTCACCCCACCCACCCACCCACTCACCCCACTCACCCCACCCACTCACCCCACCCACTCACTCACCCCACTCACCTCACTCACTCACCCCACCCACTCACTCACTCACTCACCCCACTCACCCCACTCACCCCACTCACTCACTCACCCCACTCACCCCACTCACCCACTCACTCACACACCCCACTCACCCCACTCACTCACCCACTCACCCCACTCACCCCACTCACCCCACTCACTCACTCACCCCAATCACCCCACTCACCCCACTCACTCACTCACTCACACACCCCACTCACCCCACTCACTCACCCCACTCACCCCACTCACTCACCCCATTCACTCACTCACTCACCCCACTAACTCACCCACTCACCCCACTCACTCACCCCACTCACCCCACTCACCCCACTCACTCACTCACTCACCCCACTCACTCACTCACCCCACTCACCCCACTCACTCACCCACTCACTCACCCACTCACCCCACCCACTCACCCCACCCACTCACCCCACTCACTCATCCCACTCACCTCACCCACCCCACCCACTCACTCACTTCACTCACTCACCCCACCCACCCACTCACCCCACTCACTGACCCCACCCACCCACTCACCCCACTCACCCCACCCACCCACCCACTCACCCACCCACTCACCCCACCCACTCACCCCACTCACCCCACTCACCCCACTCACTCACTCACCCACCAACTCACTCACCCCACCAACTCACTCACCCCACTCACTCACTCACCCCACTCACCCACCCACCCCACTCACCTCACTCACCCCACCCACCCACTCACCCCACCCACCCACCCACTCACCCCACTCACCCCACCCACTCACCCCACCCACTCACTCACCCCACTCACCTCACTCACTCACCCCACCCACTCACTCACACACTCACCCCACTCACCCCACTCACCCCACTCACTCACTCACCCCACTCACCCCACTCACCCACTCACTCACACACCCCACTCACCCCACTCACTCACCCACTCACCCCACTCACCCCACTCACCCCACTCACTCACTCACCCCAATCACCCCACTCACCCCACTCACTCACTCACTCACACACCCCACTCACCCCACTCACTCACCCCACTCACCCCACTCACTCACCCCATTCACTCACTCACTCACTCACCCCACTCACTCACCCACTCACCCCACTCACTCACCCCACTCACTCACTCACTCACTCACCCCACTCACCCCACTCACTCACTCACTCACCCCACTCACCCACCCACCCACTCACCCCACCCACCAACTCACTCACCCCACCAACTCACTCACGCCACTCACTCACTCACCCCAATGACCCCACTCACTCACTCACCCCATTCACCCACCCACCCCACTCACCCCACTCATCTCACTCACCCCACCCACCCACCCACTCACCCCACTCACCCCACCCACTCACCCCACTCACCCCACCCACTCACCCCACCCACTCACTCACTCACCCCACCCACTCACTCACTCACCCCACTCACTCACTCACTCACCCCACCCACTCACTCACTCACCCCACCCACTCACTCACTCACCCCACTCACTCACCCCACTCACTCACTCACCCACCCCACTCACTCCACTCACCCCACTCACTCACCCCACCCACTCACCCCACCCACTCACTCACTCACCCCACTCACTCACTAACTCACTCACTCACTCCACTCACCCCACCCACCCCACTCACCCCACTCACCCCACTCACCCCACTCACTCACTCACTCACCCCACTCACCCACCCACCCACTCACCCCACCCACCAACTCACTCACCCCACCAACTCACTCACGCCACTCACTCACTCACCCCAATGACCCCACTCACTCACTCACCCCATTCACCCACCCACCCCACTCACCCCACTCATCTCACTCACCCCACCCACCCACCCACTCACCCCACTCACCCCACCCACTCACCCCACTCACCCCACCCACCCACCCCACCCACTCACTCACTCACCCCACCCACTCACTCACTCACCCCACTCACTCACTCACTCACCCCACCCACTCACTCACTCACCCCACCCACTCACTCACTCACCCCACTCACTCACCCCACTCACTCACTCACCCACCCCACTCACTCCACTCACCCCACTCACTCACCCCACCCACTCACCCCACCCACTCACTCACTCACCCCACTCACTCACCCACTCACTCACTCACCCCACTCACCCCACCCACCCCCACCCCCCCCCCACCCCCCCCCACCCCCCCCCCCACCCCCCCCCCCCCCACCCCCCCACCCACCTCACACTGCAACACAAATTGCTTCCCTCCCTTGATCCGCAGCAGGACACACTTCTTGTCCTTCACCTGCGTCTCCTCCACCGCCTGCATCTGCTCCATCGTCAGCAGGTTTTGCTGCACGCATCATCATCAGCACCATCATCATCATCAGCACCATCGTCATCATCAGCACCATCGTCATCATCATCATCAGCACCATCATCATCATCAGCATCATCATCAGCACCATCGTCATCATCATCATCAGCACCATCATCATCATCAGCATCATCATCAGCACCATCGTCATCATCATCATCAGCACCATCATCATCATCAGCATCATCATCAGCACCATCGTCATTATCAGGACCATCATCAGCACCATCGTCATCATCATCATCCCCGGCAGTGACATCATCAGCACCATCATCACCATCAGCACCATCATCACCAGCAGTGACATCATCATCATCAGCACCATCATCATCACCAGGCCAGCCTGGTGATGATGATGGTGAGTGTGGTGTGTGGTGTGTGTGGTGTGTGTGGTGTGTGTGGTGAGTGTGGTGTGTGTGGTGTGTGTGGTGTGGTGTGTGTGTGTGGTGTGTGTGGTGTGTGTGGTGTGTGTGGTGAGTGTGGTGTGTGTGGTGTGGTGAGTGTGGTGTGTGGTGTGTGTGGTGTGTGTGGTGTGGTGAGTGTGGTGTGGTGAGTGTGGTGTGTGTGGTGTGTGTGGTGTGGTGAGTGTGGTGAGTGTGGTGAGTGTGGTGTGTGTGGTGTGGTGAGTGTGGTGTGTGGTGTGTGTGGTGTGTGTGTGGTGTGTGTGGTGTGGTGAGTGTGGTGAGTGTGGTGTGTGTGTGGTGTGTGTGGTGTGTGTGGTGTGTGTGGTGAGTGTGGTGTGTGTGGTTTGTGTGGTGTGGTGTGTGTGTGTGGTGTGTGTGGTGTGTGTGGTGAGTGTGGTGTGTGTGGTGTGGTGAGTGTGGTGTGTGGTGTGTGTGGTGTGTGTGGTGTGGTGAGTGTGGTGTGGTGAGTGTGGTGTGTGTGGTGTGTGTGGTGTGGTGAGTGTGGTGAGTGTGGTGAGTGTGGTGTGTGTGGTGTGGTGAGTGTGGTGTGTGGTGTGTGTGGTGTGTGTGTGGTGTGTGTGGTGTGGTGAGTGTGGTGAGTGTGGTGTGTGTGTGGTGTGTGTGGTGTGTGTGGTGTGTGTGGTGTGGTGAGTGTGGTGAGTGTGGTGAGTGTGGTGTGTGTGGTGTGTGTGGTGTGGTGAGTGTGGTGTGGTGTGGTGAGTATGGTGATTGTGGTGTGGTGAGTGTGGTGTGGTGAGTGGTGTGTGTGGTGTGGTGAGTGTGGTGGTGTGGTGAGGGTGGTGAGTGTGGTGGGTGAGTGTGGTGAGTGTGGTGAGTGTGGTGAGTGTGGTGTGGTGAGTGTGGTGAGTGTGGTGAGTGTGGTGGTGTGGTGAGTGTGGTGAGTGTGGTGGTGAGTGTGGTGAGTGTGGTGAGTGTGGTGAGTGTGGTGGTGTCGTGTGTGTGGTGAGTGTGGTGAGTGTGGTAGGGTGGTGAGTGTGGTGGAGAGTGTGGTGGTGAGTGTGGTGAGTGTGGTGAGGGTGCTGGGCTGGTGAGTGTGGTGAGTGTGGTGAGTGTGGTGAGTGTGGTGTGGTGAGTGTGGTGAGTGTGGTGAGTATGGTGAGTGTGGTGTGGTGAGTGTGGTGTGGTGAGTGTGGTGTGTGTGGTGTGTGTGGTGTGGTGAGTGTGGTGAGTGTGGTGAGTATGGTGTGTGTGGTGTGGTGAGTGTGGTGTGTGGTGTGTGTGGTGTGTGTGTGGTGTGTGTGGTGTGGTGAGTGTGGTGAGTGTGGTGTGTGTGTGGTGTGTGTGGTGTGTGTGGTGTGGTGAGTGTGGTGTGGTGTGGTGAGTATGGTGAGTGTGGTGTGGTGAGTGTGGTGTGGTGAGTGGTGTGTGTGTGGTGTGGTGAGTGTGGTGTGGTGAGTGTGGTGTGGTCTGTGTGGTGAGTGTGGTGTGGTAAGTGTGGTGTGGTGAGTGTGGTGGTGTGGTGAGTGTGGTGAGTGTGGTGGTGTGGTGAGTGTGGTGAGTGTGGTGGGTGAGTGTGGTGAGTGTGGTGAGTGTGGTGTGGTGAGTGTGGTGAGTGTGGTGAGTGTGGTGGTGTGGTGAGTGTGGTGAGTGTGGTGGTGAGTGTGGTGAGTGTGGTGAGTGTGGTGGTGTCGTGTGTGTGGTGAGTGTGGTGAGTGTGGTAGGGTGGTGAGTGTGGTGGAGAGTGTGGTGGTGAGTGTGGTGAGTGTGGTGAGGGTGCTGGGCTGGTGAGTGTGGTGAGTGTGGTGAGTGTGGTGAGTGTGGTGTGGTGAGTGTGGTGAGTGTGGTGAGTGTGGTGAGTATGGTGAGTGTAGTGAGTGTGGTGAGTGTGGTGGTGTGGTGAGTGTGGTGAGCATGGAGAGTGTGGTGAGTGTGGTGAGTGTGGTGTGGTGAGTGTGGTGAGTGTGGTGATGAGTGTGGTGATGAGTGTGGTGAGTGTGGTGGTGTGTGTGGTGAGTGTGGTGTGTGTGGTGTGGTGAGTGTGGTGTGTGTGGTGCGGTGAGTGTGGTGTGGTGAGTGTGGTGAGTGTGGTGTGGTGAGTGTGGTGAGTGTGGTGAGTGTGGTGTGGTGAGTGTGGTGAGTGTGGTGTGGTGAGTGTGGTGAATGTGGTGAGTGTGGTGTGGTGAGTGTGGGGAGTGTGGTGAGTGTGGTGAGGGTGGTGAGTGTGGTGAGCGTGGTGAGTGTGGCGAGTGTGGTGTGGTGAGTGTGGTGAATGTGGTGAGCGTGGTGAGTGTGATGAGTGTGGTGAGCATGGTGAGTGTGGTGAGTGTGGTGAGTGTGGTGAGCGTGGTGAGTGTGGTGAGTGTGGTGGTGTGGTGAGCGTGGTGAGTGTGGTGTGGTAAGTGTGGTGTGTGTGGTGTGGTGTGGTAAGTGTGGTGTGTGTGTTGTGTGTGGTGGGTGTGGTGAGTGTGGTGTGGTGAGTGTGGTGAGTGTGGTGAGTGTGGTGTGGTGAGTGTGGTGTGGTGAGTGTGGTGAGTGTGGTGTGTGTGGTGTGGTGAGTGTGGTGTGGTGAGCGTGGTGAGTGTGGTGAGTGTGGTAAGTGTGGTGAGTGTGTGTGGTGTGTGTGGTGTGGTGAGTGTGGTGTGGTGGGTGTGGTGAGTGTGGTGAGTGTGGTGAGTGTGGTAAGTGTGTGTGGTGTGTGTGGTGTGGTGAGTGTGGTGTGGTGAGTGTGGTGAGTGTGGTGTGTGTGGTGTGTGTGTGGTGTGTGTGGTGTGTGTGGTGTGTGTGGTGAGTGTGGTGTGTGTGGTGAGTGTGGTGAGTGTGGTGAGTGCGGTGTGGTGAGTGTGGTGTGGTGAGTGTGGTGAGTGTGGTGAGTGTGGTGGTGAGTGTGGTGAGTGTGGTGGTGTGGTGGTGAGTGTGGTGAGTGTGGTGAGCGTGGTGATGAGCGTGGTGGTGAGCGTGGTAGAGGTGAGCGTGGTGGTGAGCGTGGTGGTGAGTGTAGTGATGAGTGTAGTGATGAGTGTAGTGATGAGTGTAGTGGTGAGCGAGCTGGTGAGCGTGGTGGTGAGCGTGGTGATGAGCGTGGTGGTGAGCGTGGTGGTGAGCGTGGTAGAGGTGAGCGTGGTGGTGAGCGTGGTGGTGAGTGTAGTGATGAGTGTAGTGATGAGTGTAGTGATGAGTGTTGTGGTGAGCGAGCTGGTGAGCGTGGTGGTGAGCGTGGTGATGAGCGTGGTGGTGAGCGTGGTGGTGAGCGTGGTAGAGGTGAGCGTGGTGGTGAGCGTGGTGGTGAGTGTAGTGATGAGTGTAGTGATGAGTGTAGTGATGAGTGTAGTGGTGAGCGAGCTGGTGAGCGTGGTGGTGAGCGTGGTGATGAGCGTGGTGGTGAGCGTGGTGGTGAGCGTGGTAGAGGTGAGCGTGGTGGTGAGCGTGGTGGTGAGCGTGGTGGTGAGTGTAGTGATGAGTGTAGTGATGAGCGTGGTGAGTGTAGTAGTGATGAGCGTGGTGGTGAGCGTGGTAGAGGTGAGCGTGGTGGTGAGTGTAGTGATGAGCGTGGTGAGCGTGGTAGAGGTGAGCGTGGTGGTGAGCGTGGTGGTGAGCGTGGTAGAGGTGAGCGTGGTGGTGAGCTACTCACCCGTGAGTCACCCTCACCACGCCACTCGAGGCGGTTAGGGAAAAGGTAAAAGTATCGCCGCTGCCACTGGGTGAGGAATGGGTTGCCCAACTTCAGCATGTAGCCGTGCATGATGCAGTCTTTGCCGTGCGCATAGTCTGGGATCAATAACCAGGGGATCAATCAATCAGCAGAGGAATCAATCAGCAGAGGGATCAATCAGCAGAGGGATCAATCAGAAAGGGGATCAATCAATCAGCAGAGGCACCAATCAATCGGCAGGGGATCAATCAATCAGTAGGGGATCAATCAGTAGGGGGATCAATCAGCAGGGGATCAATCAGCAGTGGATCAATCAGCAGGGGATCAATCAGCAGGAGATCAATCAGTAGGGGATCAATCAGTAGATCAGTAGGGGATCAATCAATCATCAGGGGATCAATCAATCATCAGGGGATCAATCATCAGGGGATCAATCAGTAGGGGATCAATCAGTAGGGGATCAATCATCAGGGGATCAATCAGCAGGGGATCAATCATCAGGGGATCAATCAGTAGGGGATCAATCAGTAGGGGATCAATCAATCAGTAGGGGGATCAATCAGCAGGGGATCAATCAGCAGGGGGATCAATCAGTAGGGGATCAATCAGTAGGGGATCAATCAGCAGGGGATCAATCAGTAGGGGATCAATCAGTAGGGGATCAATCAGCAAGGGATCAATCAGCAGGGGATCAATCAGTAGGGGATCAATCAGCAGGGAATCAATCAGTAGGGGATCAATCAGTAGGGGGATCAATCAGTAGGGGATCAATCAGCAGCGGATCAATCAGAAGGGGATCAATCAATCAGAAGGGGGATCAATCAGTAGGGGATCAATCAGTAGGGGATCAATCAGTAGGGGATCAATCAGTAGGGGGATCAATCAGTAGGGGATCAATCAGAAGGGGGATCAATCAGTAGGGGTTCAATCAGTAGGGGATCAATCAGTAGGGGATCAATCAGTAGGGGATCAATCAATCAGTAGGGGATCAATCAGTAGGAGATCAATCAATCAGTAGGGGATCAATCAATCAGAAGGGGGATCAATCAGTAGGGGATCAATCAATCAGTAGGGGATCAATCAGTAGGGGGATCAATCAGTAGGGGATCAATCAGTAGGGGGATCAATCAGTAGGGGGATCAATCAGTAGGGGATCAATCAGTAGGGGGATCAATCAGCAGGGGATCAATCATTAGGGGGATCAATCAGTAGGGGATCAATCAGTAGGGGATCAATCAGCAGAGGGATCAATCAGCAGGGGATCAATCAGAAGGGGGATCAATCAGTAGGGGATCAATCAGTAGGGGATCAATCAGTAGGGGATCAATCAATCAGCAGGGGATCAATCAGTAGGGGATCAATCAGCAGGGGATCAATCAGTAGGGGATCAATCAGCAGGGGATCAATCAGTAGGGGATCAATCAGCAGAGGGATCAATCAGTAGGGGATCAATCAGCAGAGGGATCAATCAGCAGGGGATCAATCAGTAGGGGATCAATCAGTAGGGGGATCAATCAGTACGGGATCAATCAGCAGGGGATCATTCAGTAGGGGGATCAATCAATCAGTAGGGGATCAATCAGTAGGGGATCAATCAGCAGAGGGATCAATCAGCAGAGGGATCAATCAGCAGGGGATCAATCAGTAGGGGATCAATCAGTAGGGGATCAATCAGCAGGGGATCAATCAGTAGGGGATCAATCAATCATCAGGAGATCAATCAGCAGGTGATCAATCAGTAGGGAATAAATCATCAGGGGATCAATCAGCAGGGGATCAATCAGCAGGGGGATCAATCAGTAGGGGGATCAATCAGTAGGGGATCAATCAGCAGCGGATCAATCAGAAGGGGATCAATCAATCAGAAGGGGGATCAATCAGTAGGGGATCAATCAGTAGGGGATCAATCAGTAGGGGATCAATCAGTAGGGGATCAATCAGAAGGGGGATCAATCAGTAGGGGTTCAATCAGTAGGGGATCAATCAGTAGGGGATCAATCAGTAGGGGATCAATCAATCAGTAGGGGATCAATCAGTAGGAGATCAATCAATCAGTAGGGGATCAATCAATCAGAAGGGGGATCAATCAGTAGGGGATCAATCAATCAGTAGGGGATCAATCAGTAGGGGGATCAATCAGTAGGGGATCAATCAGTAGGGGGATCAATCAGTAGGGGGATCAATCAGTAGGGGATCAATCAGTAGGGGGATCAATCAGCAGGGGATCAATCATTAGGGGGATCAATCAGTAGGGGATCAATCAGTAGGGGATCAATCAGCAGAGGGATCAATCAGCAGGGGATCAATCAGAAGGGGGATCAATCAGTAGGGGATCAATCAGTAGGGGATCAATCAGTAGGGGATCAATCAATCAGCAGGGGATCAATCAGTAGGGGATCAATCAGCAGGGGATCAATCAGTAGGGGATCAATCAGCAGGGGATCAATCAGTAGGGGATCAATCAGCAGAGGGATCAATCAGTAGGGGATCAATCAGCAGAGGGATCAATCAGCAGGGGATCAATCAGTAGGGGATCAATCAGTAGGGGGATCAATCAGTATGGGATCAATCAGCAGGGGATCATTCAGTAGGGGGATCAATCAATCAGTAGGGGATCAATCAGCAGAGGGATCAATCAGCAGGGGATCAATCAGTAGGGGATCAATCAGTAGGGGATCAATCAGCAGGGGATCAATCAGTAGGGGATCAATCAATCATCAGGAGATCAATCAGCAGGTGATCAATCAGTAGGGAATAAATCATCAGGGGATCAATCAGCAGGGGATCAATCAGCAGGGGGATCAATCAGTAGGGGGATCAATCAGCAGGGGATCAATCAGTAGGGGATCAATCAGTAGGGGATCAATCAGCAGGGGATCAATCAGTAGGGGATCAATCAATCATCAGGAGATCAATCAGCAGGTGATCAATCAGTAGGGAATAAATCATCAGGGGATCAATCAGCAGGGGATCAATCAGCAGGGGGATCAATCAGTAGGGGGATCAATCAGCAGGGGATCAATCAGCAGGGGATCAATCAGTAGGGGATCAATCAGTAGGGAGAGACATTGAGAGTAGCTGGTGAGTTGTAGTGGTGGTGGCTGTGGGCAATTCTAAGTGAGTGGTTGAGCGAGTGAGTGGTTGAGCGAGTGAGTGAGTGGGTGAGTGAGTGAGTGGGTGAGTGAGTGAGTGGGTGAGTGAGTGAGTGAGTGGTGGGTGAGTGAGTGAGTGGGTGAGAGAGTGAGTGAGTGAGTGGGTGGGTGAGTGAGTGGTGGGTGAGTGAGTGAGTGAGTGGGTGGGTGGGTGAGTGAGTGAGTGAGTGGGTGAGTGGGTGAGTGAGTGGTTGAGTGGGTGGGTGGGTGACTGAGTGAGTGGGTGAGTGGTGGGTGAGTGAGTGGGTGAGTGGGTGAGTGGTGGGTGAGTGAGTGAGTGAGTTGGTGAGTGAGTGGGTGAGTGAGTGGTTGAGTGGGTGAGTGAGTGAGTGGGTGAGTGGCGGGTGAGTGAGTGAGTGAGTGGGTGAGTGGTGGGTGAGTGAGTGAGTGAGTTGGTGAGTGAGTGAGTGAGTGGGTGAGTGAGTGGTTGAGTGGGTGAGTGGGTGACTGAGTGAGTGGGTGAGTGGTGGGTGAGTGAGTGAGTGAGTGGGTGAGTGGGTGAGTGGTGGGTGAGTGAGTGAGTTGGTGAGTGAGTGAGTGGGTGAGTGAGTGGTTGAGTGGGTGTGTGAGTGAGTGGGTGAGCGAGTGAGTTGGTGAGTGAGTGAGTGAGTGGGTGAGTGAGTGAGTGAGCGAGTGAGTGTGTGAGTGGGTGAGTGAGTGAGCGAGCGAGTGAGCGAGTGGGCGAGGAGGTGCGCGAGTGGGCGAGCGGGTGAGGAGGTGAGCGAGTGAGTGAGTGGGTGAGTGAGTGAGTGGGTGAGTGAGTGAGTGAGCGAGTGAGTGGGTGAGTGGGTGGGTGAGTGAGTGGGTGAGTGGGTGAGTGGTGGGTGAGTGAGTGAGTTGGTGAGTGAGTGAGTGAGTGGGTGAGTGAGTGGTTGAGTGGGTGTGTGAGTGAGTGGGTGAGTGAGTGAGTTGGTGAGTGAGTGGGTGAGTGAGTGAGTGAGCGAGTGAGTGTATGAGTGGGTGAGTGAGTGAGCGAGCGAGTGAGCGAGTGGGCGAGGAGGTGCGCGAGTGGGCGAGTGGGTGAGTGGGTGAGTGAGTGAGTGGGTGAGTGAGTGAGCGAGTGAGTGAGTGGGTGAGTGAGTGGGTGAGCGAGTGGGTGAGTGGGTGAGTGAGTGAGTGAGCGAGTGTGTGAGTGAGTGAGTGTGTGAGTGTGAGTGAGTGAGTGTGTGAGTGAGTGGGTGAGTGAGTGGGTGAGTGAGCGAGCGAGTGAGCGAGTGGGCGAGGAGGTGCGCGAGTGGGCGAGCGGGTGAGGAGGTGAGCGAGTGAGTGAGTGAGTGGATGAGTGAGTGAGTGAGTGAGCGAGTGACTGAGTGGGTGGGTGAGTGAGTGAGTGAGCGAGTGGGTGAGCGAGTGGGTGAGCGAGTGAGTGAGTGAGTGAGCGAGTGTGTGAGTGAGTGAGTGTGAGTGTGTGAGTGAGTGGGTGAGTGAGTGAGTGAGCTGGCGAGGAGGTTCCTCCGTACCCTCCTCCTGTCCCAGGAGCTTCTTGGCACGCTTGCGAGCCTCCAGCTTGTCCGTGTCCAGGTTGACGGCGTCGTGGACGGTCTCGGCCACCTCCTGCTGCCAGCGCTCCGAGATGACCAGCGGGAAGTTCTTGTACAGCTCCTGGTCACTCTCGAGCAGCTGCGGAGCGGGGACACGGCGGGGATTACACAGACTCACGCTGACGCACACTTACTCACTCAGACACTCACTCACTCACACACCCACTCACTCAGACACTCACTCACCCACTCACTCGCTCACTCAGACACTCACTCATTCAGACACTCACTCACCCACTCACTCACTCAGACACTCACTCACTCAGTCAGACACTCACTCAGCCACTCACTCAGACACTCACTCAGACACTCACTCACTCACTCAGCCACTCACTCACTCAGCCACTCACTCACTCACTCAGCCACTCACTCAGCCACTCACTCACTCACTCAGCCACTCACCCACTCACTCACTCAGACACTCACTCAGCCACTCACTCACTCAGACACTCACTCACGCACTCACTCACTCACCCGCTCAGCCACTCACTCACCCACTCAGCCACTCACTTACCCACTCACCCACTCACTCAACCGCTCAGCCTCTCACCCGCTCGCTCACCTACTCACCCGCTCGCCCGCTCGCTCACCCACTCACTCGTTCGCTCACCCACTCACTCACCCGCTCGCTCACCCACTCACCCGCTCGCCCACCCACTCACTCACCCGCTCACTCACTCACCCGCTCGCCCACCCACTCACTCACCCGCTCCCTCACCCACTCATCCATCCACCCAATCGCTTGCTCAATCTCCCACTGTCTGCGCTCCCCCTTAACCCCACCTTGACCCCCTTGATGACCCCTGACCCCACCTTGACCCCCTTGGTGACCCCTGACCCCACCTTGATCCCCTTGGTGTCCTCCTCGTCGAAGGAGCCGATGTCGAAGGCGTCGGCGGCGTTCACCTCCCCCCGTGGGGGGATCAGGGGAGGGGGGTACTGGACAAAGACAAACACACACACATACATACACACAGTGACACACAGTGATACACACAGTAATACACACACACACATAGTGATACACATAGTGATACACACACACACACAGTGTCACACAGTGATACACATAGTGATACACATAGTGATACACACACACACAGTGTCACACACACACACAGTGACACACACACACACACAGTGACACACACACACACAGTGACACACACACAGTGACACACAGTGACACACACACACAGTGACACACACACACAGTGACACACAGTGACACACACACACAGACACACACAGTGACACACACACATACACACACACACAGTGATACACACACACAGTGACACACAGTGATACACACAGAGTGACACACACAGTGACACACACACAGTGATACACACACAGTAATACAACAACAACAACAACCGCCATTCGCCACTAAGTGGCGGTGACGTCACCACGACGCTTGTGCCAGGCTATGTGCACCCTGAGGCCACGTGAAGTGTCGAACGCCCGCTGGCAGGAGGTCACGGGGCAGACCCAGGTGCCACGGGTCGACTGACTGAGATGACTGGCTGATGCACCACCTGTGCCCCCTACTGTGCCAACCTGCTGTGCTTTAGCCACCCGGCGCTCCGCTCGTTGTTGTGAGCGTCGCTCCTCCGCCCTCCGTTGTTGTTGGAGGGCGACTACCTCCAACTGCCCAGTAGCATCCTTCACGAGCCTCCTCCAGAGAGGCCGATTTTGACACCGCTGGTACCAGTCATCGGCAAGTCCACTCAGCTCCACGTACTCCTGTACCACATCACTCCATCTCTTCTCTAGCCCGTGCCGCGCCCGCTTAGCCCCCTCAATCCGGCCAAACAAAAGCTGTTTCGGCATGCGGTGGCTGGGCATGCGGGCTACATGACCCAGCCATCGCAGCCTTGCCCGCCGGAGGAGCTCACCGATGGGACCTTGCCCAGATCTTTCAAGGATTTGTGAGCTCCTCACACAATCCAGTCTGGTTAAACCCAGGATGGATCGTAGGCAGGCCAGCCTAAATGTTTCTAACTGGCGAAGATGTTCCATTAGGGGGGTCCACGTTTCGCAAGCGTAGAGAAGGGAGGGAATGACCGTGGCCGAGAAGACCTGAAGCTTAGTGCGGAGCGACAGACCAGGTAGCTTCCACACAGCGTTACGCAACCGATGAAAAGATATTGCCGCTAGACTGATTCGGAGTGAGACCTCTGCTGTTAAACTGGAGCCAGTCATAAGCACACTGCCCAGGTACGGGAAACTCTCCACTCTCTCCACAACTGCCCCATCACCGATTGGGAGCCGTGGGGGTGGAGTGTCCGATGGTACAAAATACCCAGGCAGGTGCTTAGTTTTGGTGGGGCTGATGGTAAGGCCCCACCTCTTAGTGGCACGCTCCAGTCTCAGCAGCAGCGTCTCCAACTCCTCCTCTGAATGAGCAGCTATTACCAAATCATCGGCATACATAACATGGTTGAGCAATAGGGAGCCATCCCTTGACCGCACCCAGGCATCGATCAGCCTCCCATTATATCTGTACCATATGGAGATTCCCCCGGTACAGCTATTGAAGGCTTCACGAACTACGTGGTCAAAATAGATGTTAAATAATGTGGGAGCCAGAGGACATCCCTGTCGTACCCCAAGGTGTACAGGGAATGGCTCTGACTCCCGGCCACGTAGTTTTACCCGGGCCCGCTCACCATCATGAAGGTCCTTAATGATCGTGAGCAGAGGGTCAGGTACTCCAAAAGCACGAAGAACGACCCAGAGCCCAGGCCTACTGATGGTATCATAGGCCTTGACCAGGTCAATAAAGCAGAGATGTAGGTCTTCTTGGAATTCCCTACACCTCTGCTGTAGCAGACGGACAGAAAATATGGCATCTGTGCAGGACCGCCCTTTCCTGAAACCGCATTGGGGCTCCGCAAGCCTCTCCTCAGCGTGCCTGGCAAGGCGATGCTGAATAATCCTTGCCAGGACCTTTCCCGGCACACTGAGGAGTGATATGCCCCTGTAGTTGTTACAGTCTGTGCGGTCCCCCTTCTTAAAAAGGGGGACCACCAGGGCATCCTTCCAATCCTGCGGAACCCGTCCAGTGGTCCAGACTGTTGTTATGATGTCATATAGGGCAGTCTGTGCACAAACGCCACCCTCCCTCAGCATTTCGCTTGGGAGATCATCTCTGCCCGCTGACTGTCCTGGTCTCAGACTCCGGATCGCCTTCAGTACTTCCTCAACAGATGGCACCTCAGCCAGCCACTCACAGGGGGTGACTTCTTCTTCCATTATTTGAGGCACCGCAGCCTCAGCAGGGTCATCCTCACTTTGTGCCACGATGTTTCCTGGCTGAGGCATTTTCCCTCCCCCAGGACCTCACAGAAATGCTCAGCAAATCTGCAAACCTGTTCCTGGGGGTCGGAGATTGGATCACCGTTTTTTCCCCTAATGATGGTAATAGGTGTGGCGCTGCAGGTTACTTTTTTGATGGAGTTAAATAGAGATTTGTGATCACGGGCCACTGAGGCAGACTCCATCTCCTCAGCAACCCGCGACCACCACCCATCCTTGCAGCGCCTCACGGCTCTCCGAACCTTCTGTAGCCGATGACAGTGGGCCTGTCGCTTTTTCTCTGTCAGCCAGGGTCTCTAGGGAGGTCTGGACCGCGTACCAAAAGCAGCCATTGCAGCTGCATGAGTCACAGTCCTAAACCTCGCCCATTTACCCTCGACATCAGGAGGAGTGGGGGACGATGCCAACCCCAGCCGCAAGCGATGATGAAATTCTCGCATGCAACTTTCATCAGATAACTGAGACCAGGCCACTTTAGGTTGGAATGGGGTCCTGGGTGTACACCCACCACCGGAGTGGAAGAATGGCAGGCGCATCTTACAGATGACTAGTCGATGGTCAGAGGGCAGATCAGCTCCACGGTAGGTCCTAGTGTCAAGGACATGGGCTCGCATCCGCTGGTCCGTCACTATGTAGTCCAGTAGATGTTCTTGCTTGGACCAGGCATGCATCCATGATGTTGTGTGGATGCGCCGATGCCGGAACAGCGTGTTGGTAATTACAAGCCCATGGGCTGCACAAAAATCTAGCAGCCTCCTACCGTTGTTATTGAGCTGATCTGGCTCATGCCCTCCAATCACTCCAGACCAGGTGCCAGCATCATGACCAACTCGGGCATTGAAGTCACCCAACATGATGACTCTATCCCGAGGTGCCACTTCAGCCAGCAACTGTGACAGGAGGTCATAGAAGGCATCTGACTCATCGGCCTTGCCTGCATCCCTCCACGGATGTTCGTCTTCGGTGGGGGCATAAGTAACCACGACCACCACTCCTCGCCTCCGGTTGATGGGAAGGCGAGCCCAAAGTAGCCTGGGGCTTACAGCTTCCCACACCTCACTGCCACGCTCCCACGCCCCCTTCATTCTTTTGTTTAAAAGAAGAGCCACACCCTGTTGTTTGGCATTCTGCTGCCCCGAGTAGAAGACTGTCCACCCCTCACGGTGGCAGGAGCCAGAACCGGTCCACCGGACCTCCTGAATGCCACAAAGATCCAGGCGGTACCGGTCCAGCTCCCGACAGAGGAGTGGCAGCCTCTCCTCCGCAGTGAGTGTTCGAACATTCCACGTGGCCATCCGTAGTGGCATTTCGTTGTTTCTGGAGGAGCCCCGAGGGTAGATATTCAATCTCCTGGCTCTACCAAATGGGGTTTGGCCAGGAGACGTCATAGACGCCTGTCCCCCCGGGGCCTCCGGCACAAGCTTATTAGTTACACACACGTACACACGCACACGTACACACACACACCCTTATCCTCTCTCTCACCTTGAGAAGGTAAATCTGTTGCCAGTCGATGCCAGCGAAGAAGGGATGTCCTTTCACTTCCACTGCCCTGGGCGGGAGGGAGACACGGGTGGGTGGCTGAGTGAGTGACTGACTGAGTGGGTGAGTGAATGGGTGAGTGACTGAGTGAGTGGGTGAGTGAGTGAGTGGGTAAGTGAGTGAGTGAGTGACTGAGTGGGTGAGTGGGTAAGTGAGTGAGTGGGTGGGTGAGTAAGTGAGTGAGTGAGTGACTGAGTGGGTGGGTGACTGAGTGAGTGGGTGACTGAGTGAGTGGGTGGGTGACTGAGTGAGTGGGTGACTGACTGAGTGAGTGACTGACTGAGTGGGTGACTGAGTGAGTGGGTGACTGACTGAGTGGGTGACTGACTGAGTGGGTGACTGAGTGAGTGGGTGACTGACTGAGTGGGTGACTGAGTGAGTGGTTGACTGAGTGAGTGGGTGACTGAGTGAGTGGGTGACTGACTGAGTGGGTGACTGAGTGAGTGGGTGACTGACTGAGTGGGTGGGTGACTGAGTGAGTGGGTGACTGGCTGGCTGACTGAGTGGGTGACTGAGTGAGTGGGTGACTGACTGAGCGGGTGGGTGACTGAGTGAGTGGGTGACTGACTGAGTGGGTGACTGACTGAGTGGGTGACTGAGTGAGTGAGTGGGTGACTGAGTGAGTGGGTGAGTGAGTGGGTGACTGAGTGAGTGGGTGACTGACTGAGTGGGTGACTGACTGAGTGGGTGAGTGACTGAGTGGGTGACTGAGTGAGTGGGTGAGTGACTGAGTAAGTAAGTGGGTGGCTGACTGAGTGGGTGACTGAGTGAGTGGGTGACTGAGTGAGTGAGTGGGTGACTGACTGCCTGAGTAGGTGACTGACTGAGTGGGTGACTGAGTGAGTGGGTGACTGACTGGCTGACTGAGTGGGTGACTGACTGAGTGGGTGACTGAGTGAGTGGGTGACTGAGTGAGTGGGTGACTGACTGAGCGGGTGGGTGACTGAGTGAGTGGGTGAGTGAGTGGGTGACTGACTGAGTGGGTGACTGAGTGAGTGGGTGAGTGAGTGGGTGACTGAGTGAGTGGGTGACTGACTGAGTGGGTGACTGACTGAGTGGGTGACTGACTGAGTGGGTGACTGAGTGAGTCGGTGACTGACTGAGTGGGTGACTGACTGAGTGGGTGACTGACTGAGTGGGTGACTGACTGAGTGGGTGACTGACTGAGTGGGTGACTGAGTGAGTGGGTGACTGACTGAGTGGGTGACTGACTGAGTGGGTGACTGACTGAGTGGGTGACTGACTGAGTGGGTGACTGACTGAGTGGGTGACTGAGTGAGTGAGTGGGTGACTGAGTGAGTGGGTGAGTGAGTGGGTGACTGAGTGAGTGGGTGACTGACTGAGTGGGTGAGTGACTGAGTGGGTGACTGAGTGAGTGGGTGAGTGACTGAGTAAGTAAGTGGGTGGCTGACTGAGTGGGTGACTGAGTGAGTGAGTGGGTGACTGAGTGAGTGGGTGAGTGAGTGGGTGACTGACTGAGTGGGTGACTGACTGAGTGGGTGACTGAGTGAGTCGGTGACTGACTGAGTGGGTGACTGACTGAGTGGGTGACTGACTGAGTGGGTGACTGACTGAGTGGGTGACTGAGTGAGTGGGTGACTGATTGAGTGGGTGACTGATTGAGTGGGTGACTGACTGAGTGGGTGACTGACTGAGTGGGTGACTGACTGAGTGGGTGACTGACTGAGTGGGTGACTGAGTGGGTGACTGACTGAGTGGGTGACTGAGTGGGTGACTGACTGAGTGGGTGACTGACTGAGTGGGTGACTGATTGAGTGGGTGACTGATTGAGTGGGTGACTGACTGAGTGGGTGACTGACTGAGTGGGTGACTGAGTGAGTGGGTGACTGACTGAGTGGGTGGGTGACTGAGTGAGTGGGTGACTGGCTGGCTGACTGAGTGGGTGACTGAGTGAGTGGGTGACTGACTGAGCGGGTGGGTGACTGAGTGAGTGGGTGACTGACTGAGTGGGTGACTGACTGAGTGGGTGACTGAGTGAGTGAGTGGGTGACTGAGTGAGTGGGTGAGTGAGTGGGTGACTGAGTGAGTGGGTGACTGACTGAGTGGGTGACTGACTGAGTGGGTGAGTGACTGAGTGGGTGACTGAGTGAGTGGGTGAGTGACTGAGTAAGTAAGTGGGTGGCTGACTGAGTGGGTGACTGAGTGAGTGGGTGACTGAGTGAGTGAGTGGGTGACTGACTGCCTGAGTAGGTGACTGACTGAGTGGGTGACTGAGTGAGTGGGTGACTGACTGGCTGACTGAGTGGTGACTGACTGAGTGGGTGACTGAGTGAGTGGGTGACTGAGTGAGTGGGTGACTGACTGAGCGGGTGGGTGACTGAGTGAGTGGGTGAGTGAGTGGGTGACTGACTGAGTGGGTGACTGAGTGAGTGGGTGAGTGAGTGGGTGACTGAGTGAGTGGGTGACTGACTGAGTGGGTGACTGACTGAGTGGGTGACTGAGTGAGTCGGTGACTGACTGAGTGGGTGACTGACTGAGTGGGTGACTGACTGAGTGGGTGACTGACTGAGTGGGTGACTGAGTGAGTGAGTGGGTGACTGAGTGAGTGGGTGAGTGAGTGGGTGACTGAGTGAGTGGGTGACTGAGTGAGTGGGTGAGTGACTGAGTGGGTGACTGAGTGAGTGGGTGAGTGACTGAGTAAGTAAGTGGGTGGCTGACTGAGTGGGTGACTGAGTGAGTGGGTGACTGAGTGAGTGAGTGGGTGACTGACTGCCTGAGTAGGTGACTGACTGAGTGGGTGACTGAGTGAGTGGGTGACTGACTGGCTGACTGAGTGGGTGACTGACTGAGTGGGTGACTGAGTGAGTGGGTGAGTGAGTGGGTGACTGACTGAGTGGGTGACTGACTGAGTGGGTGACTGAGTGAGTCGGTGACTGACTGAGTGGGTGACTGACTGAGTGGGTGACTGACTGAGTGGGTGACTGAGTGAGTGGGTGACTGATTGAGTGGGTGACTGATTGAGTGGGTGACTGACTGAGTGGGTGACTGACTGAGTGGGTGACTGACTGAGTGGGTGACTGACTGAGTGGGTGACTGAGTGGGTGACTGACTGAGTGGGTGACTGAGTGGGTGACTGACTGAGTGGGTGACTGACTGAGTGGGTGACTGATTGAGTGGGTGACTGATTGAGTGGGTGACTGAGTGGGTGACTGATTGAGTGGGTAAGTGAGTGGGTGACTGACTGAGTGGGTGACTGACTGAGTGGGTGACTGAGTGGGTGACTGATTGAGTGGGTAAGTGAGTGGGTGACTGACTGAGTGGGTGACTGACTGAGTGGGTGACTGACTGAGTGGGTGACTGACTGAGTGGGTGACTGAGTGAGTGAGTGGGTGACTGAGTGAGTGGGTGAGTGAGTGGGTGACTGAGTGAGTGGGTGACTGACTGAGTGGGTGAGTGACTGAGTGGGTGACTGAGTGAGTGGGTGAGTGACTGAGTAAGTAAGTGGGTGGCTGACTGAGTGGGTGACTGAGTGAGTGGGTGACTGAGTGAGTGAGTGGGTGACTGACTGCCTGAGTAGGTGACTGACTGAGTGGGTGACTGAGTGAGTGGGTGACTGACTGGCTGACTGAGTGGGTGACTGACTGAGTGGGTGACTGAGTGAGTGGGTGACTGAGTGAGTGGGTGACTGACTGAGCGGGTGGGTGACTGAGTGAGTGGGTGAGTGAGTGGGTGACTGACTGAGTGGGTGACTGACTGAGTGGGTGACTGAGTGAGTGGGTGAGTGAGTGGGTGACTGACTGAGTGGGTGACTGACTGAGTGGGTGACTGAGTGAGTCGGTGACTGACTGAGTGGGTGACTGACTGAGTGGGTGACTGACTGAGTGGGTGACTGAGTGAGTGGGTGACTGATTGAGTGGGTGACTGATTGAGTGGGTGACTGACTGAGTGGGTGACTGACTGAGTGGGTGACTGACTGAGTGGGTGACTGAGTGAGTGGGTGACTGAGTGGGTGACTGAGTGAGTGGGTGACTGAGTGGGTGACTGACTGAGTGGGTGACTGACTGAGTGGGTGACTGATTGAGTGGGTGACTGATTGAGTGGGTGACTGACTGAGTGGGTGACTGACTGAGTGGGTGACTGAGTGGGTGACTGACTGAGTGGGTGACTGATTGAGTGGGTGACTGATTGAGTGGGTGACTGACTGAGTGGGTGACTGACTGAGTGGGTGACTGAGTGGGTGACTGACTGAGTGGGTGAGTGACTGAGTGGGTGACTGACTGAGTGGGTGACTGACTGAGTGGGTGACTGACTGAGTGGGTGACTGAGTGAGTGAGTGAGTGGGTGACTGATTGAGTGGGTAAGTGAGTGGGTGACTGACTGAGTGGGTGACTGAGTGAGTGGGTGACTGACTGACTGAGTGACTGACTGAGTGGGCGAGTGAGTGAGTGGGTGACTGACTGAGTGGGTGACTGAGTGAGTGGGTGAGTGACTGAGTAAGTAAGTGGGTGGCTGACTGAGTGGGTGACTGAGTGAGTGGGTGACTGAGTGAGTGAGTGGGTGACTGACTGCCTGAGTAGGTGACTGACTGAGTGGGTGACTGAGTGAGTGGGTGACTGACTGGCTGACTGAGTGGTGACTGACTGAGTGGGTGACTGAGTGAGTGGGTGACTGAGTGAGTGGGTGACTGACTGAGCGGGTGGGTGACTGAGTGAGTGGGTGAGTGAGTGGGTGACTGACTGAGTGGGTGACTGAGTGAGTGGGTGAGTGAGTGGGTGACTGAGTGAGTGGGTGACTGACTGAGTGGGTGACTGACTGAGTGGGTGACTGAGTGAGTCGGTGACTGACTGAGTGGGTGACTGACTGAGTGGGTGACTGACTGAGTGGGTGACTGACTGAGTGGGTGACTGAGTGAGTGGGTGACTGAGTGAGTGGGTGACTGAGTGAGTGGGTGACTGACTGAGTGGGTGACTGACTGAGTGGGTGACTGACTGAGTGGGTGACTGAGTGAGTGAGTGGGTGACTGAGTGAGTGGGTGAGTGAGTGGGTGACTGAGTGAGTGGGTGACTGACTGAGTGGGTGAGTGACTGAGTGGGTGACTGAGTGAGTGGGTGAGTGACTGAGTAAGTAAGTGGGTGGCTGACTGAGTGGGTGACTGAGTGAGTGGGTGACTGAGTGAGTGAGTGGGTGACTGACTGCCTGAGTAGGTGACTGACTGAGTGGGTGACTGAGTGAGTGGGTGACTGACTGGCTGACTGAGTGGGTGACTGACTGAGTGGGTGACTGAGTGAGTGGGTGACTGAGTGAGTGGGTGACTGACTGAGCGGGTGGGTGACTGAGTGAGTGGGTGAGTGAGTGGGTGACTGACTGAGTGGGTGACTGACTGAGTGGGTGACTGAGTGAGTGGGTGAGTGAGTGGGTGACTGACTGAGTGGGTGACTGACTGAGTGGGTGACTGAGTGAGTCGGTGACTGACTGAGTGGGTGACTGACTGAGTGGGTGACTGACTGAGTGGGTGACTGACTGAGTGGGTGACTGAGTGAGTGGGTGACTGATTGAGTGGGTGACTGATTGAGTGGGTGACTGACTGAGTGGGTGACTGACTGAGTGGGTGACTGACTGAGTGGGTGACTGACTGAGTGGGTGACTGAGTGGGTGACTGACTGAGTGGGTGACTGATTGAGTGGGTGACTGATTGAGTGGGTGACTGACTGAGTGGGTGACTGACTGAGTGGGTGACTGACTGAGTGGGTGACTGACTGAGTGGGTGACTGAGTGGGTGACTGACTGAGTGGGTGAGTGACTGAGTGGGTGACTGACTGAGTGGGTGACTGACTGAGTGGGTGACTGACTGAGTGGGTGACTGAGTGAGTGAGTGAGTGGGTGACTGATTGAGTGGGTAAGTGAGTGGGTGACTGACTGAGTGGGTGACTGAGTGAGTGGGTGACTGACTGACTGAGTGACTGACTGAGTGGGCGAGTGAGTGAGTGGGTGACTGACTGAGTGGGTGACTGACTGAGTGGGCGACTACTGAGTGGGTGACTGACTGACTGAGTCAGTGACTGACTGAGTGGGTGACTGAGTGGGTGACTGAGTGGGTGACTGAGTGACTGACTGACCGACTGAGTGGGTGACTAAGTGACTGAGTGGGTGACTGAGTGGGAGACTCCATACCCGGTCCCAAGGCATCCAAGCCGCTTAGCGACGTCTCTCTGCAGGAGGCCATCAAGGAGTGACTTCAGCTCCGCGGAGAATGACTCTGGCAGCTCCACGTCCTGATCCCATAGGCACACACACACAGTTACCACGGAGCGTACCTAGGGGTGGCACGGTGCACCACTCACTCACAATGACACTCGCACACACACAAAAAACACAAAGATCCCCCAGGTAGCCTCTAGCAGGCTGTAGGGGCAAGTGCTGTGCGGTGGCGGCGGAGGTGGCGGTGGTGGCGGCGGTGGTGGTGGTGGTGGTGGCGGTGGTGGTGGCGGTGGCGGTTGTGATTGTGGTGGTGGTGGCGGTGGTGATGGTGGTGATGGTGGTGATGATGATGGTGCAGATGGTGATGATGATGGTGATGATGATGGTGCAGATGGTGCAGATGGTGATGATGATGGTGCAGATGGTGCAGATGGTGATGATGGTGATGATGGTGAATATGGTGCAGATGGTGATGATGGTGCAGATGGTGATGATGGTGATGATGATGATGGTGATGATAATGATACTAATGATAATGATGCTGCTGATAATGATGCTGATGATGATGCTGCTCGTGATAATGATACTGATGATGATGCTGCTGATAATGATACTGATGATGATGATGATGCTGCTGATAATGATGCTGATGATGATGATGCTCCTGATAATGATGATGCTGCTGATAATGATGCTGATGATGATCATGCTGCTGGTAATGATACTGATGATGATACTGATGATAATGATACTCCTGATAATCATACTGATGATACTGCTGATAATGATACTGATGATGAGGATACTGCTGATAATGATGCTGATGATCATAATGCTCGTGATAATGATGATGATGCTGCTGATGATCATGATACTGATGATCATGATGATCCTGATGATCATGCTCCTGATAATGATGCTGATGATGATGCTCCTGATAATGATACTGATGATGATGCTCCTGATAATGATACTGATGATGATGATGCTGATACTGATGATGATGATGCTCCTGATAATGATACTGATGATGATGATGCTGATACTGATGATGATGCTCCTGATAATGATACTGATGATGATACTGCTGATAATGATACTGATGATGATACTGCTGATAATGATACTGATGATGATGCTCCTGATAATGATGCTGATGATGATGATGCTGATGATCATGATACTGATGATGATGCTCCTGATAATGATACTGATGATAATGCTCCTGATAATACTGATGATGATGCTGATACTGATGATGCTCCTGATAATGATACTGATGATGCTGATGATGATGCTCCTGATAAGGATACTGATGCTGATGATGCTGCTGATAATGATACTGATGATGATGATGATGCTGCTGATAATGATACTGATGATGATGATGCTGCTGATAATGATGATGATCATGATGCTCCTGATAATGATGCTGATGATGATGATGCTCCTGATGATGATGCTAATGATGATGTTCCTGATAATGATACTGATAATGATACTGAT